CACTTTGACTTATTGAATTTATTTGTATAGACGCTCAAATTATTTCAAGATTTTCGGTTCTTTATTTTCTACTCGAGACGGAAATTCAAACAACTACTCGTCGCCAAAAGACTGCATTATCGGTATAAGTAGCCTCACCAAGCGACTTTGAGGTTTGAGAAAAAATTGCTTTCTTGTTGATCCATTTTTGCTTTAAGCATAAGATTTTTGTTAAAACCCCTAATTTTATGCTTTTTGTTTCTTTATAGGTGAAATTTACAAAACGACATATAGTAAACCAGAACACCTTAGTGCATTGGATAGTCTAAAAGAACTGGATAGTCGGGCAATCTCGGCTCTCAAAACACTTAAATTTAACGAGTTTGACAATTTTCTGATGGACACTAAAGCAAGTGTTCCCGACCAGCAGGTTTATGGCATATTTCTTTGGCTGATCGAGCAATACTTGTTGGAGGATGCTTATGAATTTAAGAAGCTGAGTGAAGCAGAAGAGTCCAAAGCCTTCCAAAGCACAGCCAATTTTCGAGTCGTGGGACAAACCTGGTCATACCCGAGCTTTCTGAAATCGGAGAGTTGTATCTCCTTCTTGGCAGCTGTCGTAAACTTCGAAGAAGTCAAACACATTCCCGATCAGCCTATTATATATGATAATTCTACGAACAAATGTGTATAGAAGCGCCCCAGTCGATCAATACCACGGCCATTTGACTGCGAGAAAGCCAGTATTGCATTATGCAATCGCAAAATATTTAGTTTTGGTTATTTAAAATATTTTAGTCGTGTGTGTTATACAGATTATATTTTCTTTTGTTTCTGAACTTTTTTTTGCTTAGATATAATCTAATGAACTGGAGACTGGTACCACTAATTATTTTACTCCTATGTTGAATCCACTTACAGCCTGTCTCTTTATCTTTCTTACTAAAATAAGCACTAATAAGCCCATATTAATAGGGAGTCATAAAATATTGATGATTTAAATGGTTCCTGAAACCGCAAAAATAGGTTTCTCGAAGTGAGCAATTCTAGTATATATCGGGCTTTTCCTAGAGTAAAAATATTTTGATTAAATCGAATAGTCGACCCGGGATGCGAACCCATTTTGAAGATAGATAGCACATCCTAGTCCTACAACAAAAGCCAGCAGTCTCCTATTCAAAATGCGATGACAAAATCTTAGCACCTAAAATATCAATCGGCAATTTGCACACCTCTAGTTCAAAGCTAGTTAAACTCCCTACTCAGGGTCATGCTTATTCTTATTCTTTTTGCAAAGTTACGTTTAAGGCTCTATCGGTGCCAAATATTGATCTAGGCGTCAGTAAACCTAGCTATCCTAACCTTGGTACGCTATTGGATCATTTCCTTTTTCCCAGCACGTCACATCTAGCACAGGTGACTAGCCATTTAGCATATAAAGAATGGCGCTTGGGCTCACCAGATTGCTTAAAAGCCCCGGACATGATGATCAGATTTTCAAACATTTTATCTGGAGCCTGATAGACCAGTAATAGCTTTGTTGCTGAAGTAAATTAGAGCAGCTATCATTCCATCATACAATAGAGGTAAATTTGGAGTGGCTTAATGGCGAATGCTTCGCGATGACGAGTAAGCTCATTAGTTTCTTCTATTTTCATAAATGCGCTGCATGAATTCCTCTGCATAATTTACTTTTGTTGAGAATTTCCGTCGGTATGGAAACATATGACCAAAACAAATTGAAAGCTTGGTAAATAGCTCCTAAGAACTCACTGAATTTATTGAAATGGTAAGATAATTTTTAATGTGACTTATGTTATTCTTTAGAAGTTTGCTGACTTCGATTCCTCATTCGCATACATGAAATTCTGTTTGGCCTTCACGATTAAGTACTTCGGGTCATAAAAGTATTATGGAAATATTGGATATTAATCTCATCAAATGCAACTTTATTTGCTCAAATTAAGCGGTATCTGAAAATATATTTAAACTTATTTATTTGATTGTTCTGTCCATTTTGGCCCAGGAAGAAGAGCTTTGGATATTTACTGCTGACATTGAGTAAAATAGCCATAGTTATCCAAATGGACGCAGAACTGCTGAAGTTAGAGTAAACTGTAAATAAGAGATAATTAAAACCACGTGTTAAATCAGAATTAACTTAAAGAAGCTACTGAAATTTCCACAGTTGGAAGGATAACTGGATGTTTTCTAGTCTTTTAATGTTTGGAACTGAGTGAGCAGTGGGTGAAGTATAACATTTATGAGCATCTCAACCAAGGAAGCCTGAGATTTAAAGAAATTAGGCTAAGATCTATAAAATGTAATTAACCTATGATGCGACGAAAGTTCCATTTACGACATTACATAAAAGGTATTACGTATCACTATTTAAATTTTCACTCTTAATCGCGCTTCATGCCTTGATCCATATATATATATATACATATAATGTACTTAACTCAAATTGTTTACTTCCTAATTAAAAAAGCTCCATGCTGAATGGCTCGTAGATAGTTAACATCTAATCACGGTAGTCTTTTTTCGATAGAGTTTGGATTACTTATATGTATATGTATGCATGGGCGATTTTTGAAATCAAGTCGAGCTTTAAATATAAAAGTTGATAATGATAAGGACAATGGAAGGATACGGAAGATGAAGAATAAAAATTCGGTGTCATTGCTGGTTTTGCTGCAAATTCACTAATGGGAAGATAAAATGTTGCAATATAAAGTAAATTAGCATGATAGGTAGGGCACAAAAATAGCAGTATTTGACGTTTGGTGAAGCAGAAAAAGTATAGGTCACATAAAATAGGAAAATAATTAAACATCTAGCATTTCTCACATTAAGAGATTGAGAATGGTAGTTAGAAGGCTTCGAATGCTACTCTTCTTTGTTCTCTTCTGGGAAATGAAGAATTAAATCAGCATAGTAAGTTGAGATAGTTATTTAAAGTAAAGAAAAGTAATTACAACTTTAAAAATACACAAACTAGAATTTGCTACAGCAATAACGATAAACAAAAATACGCTTTTTTAATAACGACGATTAACACAAACTAATTCACATGATTAAAGAAAAAGTTGGAAAGCCTATCAGTGTATTTAGAATCATGCGAAAGGGCGCAGTGCTGTTTCAGGGCCTGAACGGTGAGATGGACTAAATAAATTGGTAAGAAGCTTCAATTCAATGGCAAGTGTTTTTGCGTTGTTTAAGGAAAATCGGTTATCCGTTAGGTCAAAACTCGATTAGGGAAATTTTTTTATTAGATAAGTGCCCAAAATCAAATACTAAATAAACAATTTCAGATGGCGAACTTAGAAGTTGGAATCAGGCCAGCTTATCTAACGAAGCTGTGTAAGATAAAGTACATTAAATTTATTTATAAAAGGCTTGCTGCTCAATCCAAACTTGCATAACTGAATCTTCTGGACCTGTCCATGTATATTGAAGATATACATTTTATTTGGGTATAATCAAATTGAATTACTTAAGGGCGATCGAAGTGGAAGTCAAACTTTACTATAACTGAGCTTAGTGAAACCAACTTCCTTAGATATCTAATAAACACGCAATGCCCTTATGCTGGTTTCAAAGCCAACCTTAATACATACAAAATAGGGAGTGGTGCTAGAACTCACTGAGTTTGTCCCAGCCATAATAGTCTGAGCAGGCCAGGCCAAATTCCCTTTGTTTAGTAATTAGAAGATGGCCTGCTCTCACTTTTTGAAGTTCTACCACACAGGTAGGCCCGGCTCGGCACCACTGGCTCCTCAACTTCCTCCAGATGAACAGGTTGAAATTCAGAGATGTTGAGTTGACTCGACTCTTTCTGTAGCATTAAATAGCCTCCAGTCAAGCGAGAGGAAAGTAATCAAGAAGAGGCATAAAAATCAAATTGTGCGAAATGTGTGCATCAACACATTCCAAGAGAAGCTAGAATGGTTGCATTGGTTTAGCCCGAAATGAATTCTGCATTTACGTTGCCAAATAGGTCGATTATACTAACTGACCCAACCAAACCCGTAGTCTTCAGTAAAAATTTTGAATGACATAGGTAATAGCAGAAAGATGTACCGCAAGTTAGTGATAGGTGCAAATTAGGTGGGTAAAACTTTGCTGAATAGAGCAGAATAATATAATTTCAAGAAAAATCAGACTACAATTTAACGGACATAATTCTTTAGTCGAAGGTATGAAGACCAAGATGGTGTGGCCTTTTGTGTGGTCGCACTCTCCTTTCGTTTTATCGAAGTTGTTTGACCTTATTTTCTCAACTTGGCCATATTGGTAGGAACGCACCTAGTCCGGAGTCTATT